CCCCAGTCCCAGGTGACCTCCAGTAGCCTTGCCCTCTGAGCTCCACTCCCTGCGGAGGGCAGTGCGGGTCCTGGGGTCCTGATTCAGGCCTGCCTGGCTCAGCCGCCCCCAGATTCCTGACTCATAGAAATGAGTGACAAGTGCTTGTTGCTTTCAGTATTTTTTGGGGGTAAGATTTTTGCTATAGGACATGTGTGCTCGCTAGAGGGAGACAGACAGAAAGCAAGAAATCATCCCCCAGGGGGCCATGCCACAGTCCCTTCTCCCTTCTCCATTCTCCTCTTGGAATTTTGGGCATGCATGCACACCTGCCTGGCGTGAGTTTCAAGCCACCAGGGCCAGGACTAGAACTGCAGTTGACTGGGAGTTCAGCGACGTAACCATTATGCCTTCTGCCGGGCCCCATTGCTTTCAGTTTCAGGTTAAGTTCTTTTACACAGCAGCAGAAACCCGGACAACCCATGGTCTGGGCTTTTCAGAAAGTCTGTCATAGAAAAACAAAATGAAAAGGTGAGATTGTTTTTTTAAAAAAATGATTTAATTTTATTTATTGTCATCACTATTTTTTTTTTTTTTTTAATTCACCTGAGAGAGACAGACAGAAAGGGGGAAAGTGAGAAAGCAAGCCACCAGGTCCGGGACTCAAATCATGGTTGGCCATGTGGGAGTCCAGCACCCCAACCGGCACGCCCCTGCTGAGATTGTTCTAAGTAAAGGAGGATGAAGAGGCAAGGTGGTACCCTGGGCAGAAGGGAATGCTGCGGGCCAGGGGCAGCTGGGGCGATGGCCGAGGTGGGGCCAGGCCATAGCGGGCGGCTGCACCATTGTGGTGGCACCACGGAGACGCAGCGGGGAGGCCAGCTCGTAGGGTCATGACAGCCCGTGTTCAGGTGGTCTCACAGAAGCACACGGGTGGAGACCAAGGCAGCAGGGTGGGAAGGCGTCACCTCGGGCAACCTGCAGCAGGGATGGGGTGTCCTGCGTAACGCTGCCCATCTGAGTTGGAAATGCGCACAGTGCAGTGGGGGCCGAGACGTCTGGCCCTCAACGTCCGTGGGGACTCAGGCCCTTGAAGGACTCAGGGCAGGGTGCGGGCCTCCTGGGGAGGTTCCTCAGCTGGAGGCTGCCAGGGCCGCTAGCCTCTACCCTGCTGGGCATGGTCAGGTTTGTGGAGTCAGCACCTTGGACGGCCCGGGCAGCTGTGTCCGGGTGTGTGCGCATCCGCCTGTGAGCGAATGGTGGTGCACAGTCCCCACAGCTGGCTGGACCACGCCTCCTCGGGCTGTTCTGAGTGGGTCTGTGGGCAGCGTCTCTGCTCAGTGTAGGGCCTGGAGCTGGGCAGAGGGGGGCGGGGTTTCCACCCCAAGGAAAGGCTGGACTCTCAGGCCCCTGCCTTTCACCAGCCAGCTTTGGCTCTGGGCGCTGGGAGGGTCCTTATCCTTTCCCCGGGCCTTCCTGCGGGGCTGGCCCCAGGAGTCTGATTACAGAACTGGGGGTGGGTACTGACCCCCCCAGTCGCCTCATCGTGAACGAGGAGCAGCAGTCGCCTCATCGTGAACGAGGTAGCACACGGCACCCCCAGGTCAGCAGGTGGCTGACTGCGGCTCTGCTCGCCCCTGCCCCACCTGCGTGCAGACTGGGGTGTGGCTGGATTGGAAGACCAGCTCTGTCTCGGGAGGGAGGGGGGCAGTGTGCGTGCTGGTCAGGCCTGAGCCAGCAGCCCTGGTGAGAGCCCGACAGCGTGTCTCCTGAGGGCGTGCGGCCCGGGGAGGGCCCTCCTGAGACGCTGCCACTAACCAGTGTGGTGGTCTGGGGGCTGCTTGGCCTTTGACTTCTCATTTCCTTTCAGGAGAAAGGGACAGAGAGAGAGGGAGAGAGAGGTGGGGGAAGAGGGGGCTGACGAGCCTCTCAGCAGGGTCTCAGGCCCTGGCCCCAGCTCTCCAGCCAGGGCGGCGACTGCACCCTCATGTCCCTGTGCACACCATCCTGGGAGCCAGCCTGCTCCCACAGGGCTTCCGCTGCTACAGCCCAGCTCCATTCCCGGGGAGGCGCTGTGGGCCCAGAGGCCGGTGCAGGTGTGTGCCCGCTGCTGCACTGCTGTTCTTCATGCCAGAAACGGCGCCGTGCAGGCCCTGTGTGGGCTCAGTGTTTGGGCTGTTTAACCTGCTGATGTCAGCCATGCTGAGAAGAGTCAGAAGGTTAGCTTGAATGAAGTCAGCGGCCACATGCGTGTGTGCATGCATGCTTGTGCACACGTGTGTGCAGACATGTGCCTGCACATTGACCCTTGTCTGCGCCCCCGCCACGGGGAGGGGCACAGCACACCAGCGGCCATACGTTGGAGAGCGATCTCGGTTACCAGGCTCAGGACACCCACCGCTGCCTCAGGCCCGAGCCGGCAGGCCTCTGCGGGTGTGCTTGGAGGAAGCCTAGCGCGAGCTGCTCCTGGCTGCTGGGCCTGCACTGGGCCGCCCACAGACACGCGGGGATGGACAGAGCTGGGGTGGGAAGGCAGGGGTGGAGGACGAGGCTGCCAGCTCTGCCCTCGCAGCCCTCACTGACACCAGACTCCGGGCCAGCTGGGAAGGCACCGTGGGGACACAGCCATACCTGCCACAGCAAGGCCTGTTTGTTCACGATTCAGACACATGGCGTGGGCTTCATGGCGTGGGGGAGACGGTGGCACTCACGCCTGATTTCCAAGAGCGTAGGGTGGCGCCTGGGGCACAGCAGGTGGCCGAGGGCTGGCGGGGCGATGAATCTGCCATTGCCGCCGACCTCGCTGCCCTGCCCTGCCTCCTGCCGCTGGAACACCATCAGCTCTGGGGTGTGTGGACAAAAATCCAGCCAGGCCGAGGCCACCTGCTTAAAAGGGGGACTTTATTCACTCCTCGGGAGCAGGTCCTGCTGACGGTCGCACACAGTCGCGCTCGGCCAGCCAGGACCATGGCACACACACGGTGGACACGTCACTGCCCATTTTCTTATTTTTTTTTGGTACAAAATGATACAAACAACAATACAAAATAGTTGTGCTGTTGACGATTACAAAAAACGCCGGGCGCTCGTGGAGCCGCGCAGCGCTGAGCCGCCGCGCGCACCTCGCCTGCCAGTGTTTCCGGCAGTCGTGGGGCCTGCCGTACTCGTCCATCTCAGGAGGGGACATGCAAGACAGAAATCAGGATGGAGGGCGGGGAGGGAGGACAGCAGCACGCATCCCAGTGACACAGAGTGGCCGGCCCGTCACGCCGAGCCCCATCTGTGGACGCCCCCGCCAGCTCCTGCTGCGATGTTCTGTGAACGGGAGGCTTTTCTGGGGCTCCGGGTGGTCTTTCCCAGCATCGAGAGCGCGAGTCTCAGCCTCCCTGACTGCCCTGGAGTCGCACTGCGGTGAGCCCTGTGCATCGGCCGGTGCTCTGACTGCAGGGTGCCTGGCGGTCGGTGTGTAAGGACAGGACTGCTGGGCCAGGAATTGGGGGTGCTCAGGCCCCGACAGGCACCGAGCTGGGGCGTCCTGGCTACCCCGTCCGTGGACGAAAGCTACTCAGGGGAGGGAGGCAGGCCTGTCCCGTTGTCCCCTGCTGGCACTGTCCTGGGGGGCCTGGCAGACACGCCAAACCCACAAGCTACAGAAGGGACCCCAACAGTGCTGCACCTACGCTCACGCCGGCCCGCGGCCTGGAGTGGGGCGGAGAAGGGTTTGGGAGGGCTGGGAGCCCATCCTTGGCCCCTGGGGACAGAGGGAAGCCACCCAGCTGTCTGGAGCAGGTGTGGGCGCAGGAGCCACCCCATGACACGGTCAGTGCTGCAGCGTCCTCCGGTGACATTTATGCCAAGAGGGCCTGGCAGTTACAGAGGCAAGAGGAGTGGCCGGACAGGGCCTCCTGGGACCCCGAGCATGGGGACCTCAGGACCTCAGTCAAGTGTGCACGGCTGCCTCAGCTCCCAGATCACAGTCACACTTGGAACACTCCACTCTCCTCGGCTCAGGACTTGGACAGAAGGACGGACTCTCCAAAACGACGAAAACAGGAACTCCCAGCCCCCTCCTGACGGCCACCCTCCAGCAGTGCCGGCGGTCAAGCCCCCACACCCAGGGCCGTTCTCATTGGCTGCCTGGCCTTGAGCAATTGCATAGCACAGCCTAGGACTGGGGTCCTTGTCCGGCTGCCAGTGACCGTCACCACCTCCTGGGCTGCACCCAACTCCCTCCCTGGCAGCCCCCGCCCCCGGGTCAGAACAGACAGATGAGCTCGGAACCCCAGCACGCCTCTGGGAGAGTGGACAGGGCTGGGGATGAGCTTGGTTCGGGGAAACCCTGACGTCCAGTGGGGACACACCCATGAGCGTGGCACACCCATGCACACACTCAAGGCTGTCTTTGAGGCCAAAGCTGTTTAGCAAAGGGGGAAGGTCACAGGCCGAGGAAAGAGAGGCCGGAGGCCCCAGGCAGACCCCCTGCTCCCCAGCTCTCTTGAGGCCTTGGCCCTGAGGAGCAGGCACGAGGGGGGCTCTGGGGAGGGCGTCCTTGTCCTTTGATGCCGGGACCCCTCTCTCTTTTTCCCAAGAGGTTCTGACTAGGCCTGCCCAGGGCCGCTGGCACCCTCTGCCCCTCCCTTGGGAAGTGCCATGTGACTGGCCTGGGGGGAGCCAGGAAGCTGACCACGCGTGAGGGTCTCCCCGCAGAGGCAGGTGCCACATCCGATGTGGCCTTCCCCGCAGAGGCAGGTGCCACAGGCCTTTTGCTGTCCTGCAGGACGGACCCCACCCCACCACCTGCCTGGGGCTGTATGCCCTTGCAGAATGCCGCTCCAGCTTGGAGGGGCAGCAGCGAGGGCTCTGCACAGCTGCCGTTGCTAGGTCCTGCAGCCTGGGGCGTCGGGACAGATGGCCCCTCCCAGGGCAGGGCATCGCCATCACACCAGGTCACGGGCCTCAGGTGGGAGCTCAGGCCGAGTGGGCCAGGCAGGGGAGGGACAGAGGCCGCCAGAGGTTGCCACAGCTGGGAGGCCGGCTGCCGGCCTGGCCGGGGGTGCGTCGGCTCCCTGGCGTCTGTGCAGTTGAGGTGGAGGGCATGCCGGGGCCCGGGGGCGTATGCTGCCGGCATCAGCAGGGCTCCTGCTGTGTGAGCGCCGGGCAGAGGCTCATGCCAAGGCCCTGCAGGGCACTGGCTGGTTTTGGGGACAGCGTACCCTCCTGGACCACAGGCAGAGGAGGCCAGGTGGCATTTGGTGACAGGTGGCCTAAGGGAGTTCTTACGGTGGCTAGGGCGCCTGAGGGCAGAGAGGAGAGCTGCACACTTGCCTGGAACCCCACCCGCCCGGCCAGTCCCGCTGCCTGGGAGTGGGGAGTCGGGACTTCGTGAAAACCAGGTCACAGTCTTGCCTTTGGTTGGCAGGGACTCGGCCACCTCGGGGACTTCCTGCTGCTGAAGGCTACGTCTCCCCTGCTGGCCTGGGGCACCCCAAGGGGACCCAGGAGAGAACTTAGAGCAGATTCTGCAGGGGGTGGACCCCAGGCTGTTTCTAAGATGGGCACCCGCTTTCTCTTTCTTAATAAAAGACAAAGAAAAAAGGGGTGGGGAAGACGGACACGTGACCCTTCCCGTCCAGAGGCTTCGGGCTGGAGCTGGCCGGGCCTTGGGGCTGGAGTGCAGTGGGGACCTTGGTCTGCCTGCCTCGGTCACTCCTGAGTTTGAGGGAATCTGATACGTGTACCAAAAGGCACTTTCATTTTTACAACAGTGCTTCTGTACTAGGAAATTCAAGTTAAGACAGTGCCCCTCGCTCTCTGGGAGTGGTAGGTCAGCGCTGTGACAGCGGCCGCCGCGTGCAGGGCGCCGCGGGGTGAGTTCATGCTAGACGGCTCGATGTCGGGGAGGGCTGGGCTGGGGAGGGACCTCCTAACACACCACTAAATGACACGTCCGCAGGGACGGCGGGCCACCGGCTGCTCTGTCCAGTCCCGCTCCGCCGGCGTCCAGGTGCTGTTCTCAGCGTGGTCCGAGGACGTGGGGTCAGTTAATCCTCCTCGCCGCCTCCATACATGTCTGCCAGTTTCTTGAACCGGGGCCCCCAGTCGTTTAGGTAATCGTAGTCCTGGTCCCCTGAGCTGGATGAGCTCAGAGAGCTGACGGAGCCGGCCGTGGAGCCGCTGCCCTCATAGTCGAAGACCAGCAGGGAGTCGTAGGGGGGTGCCGTGGGGTCATTGTCGGCTGCTCGAAGCCCCTGTGGGTCACAGAGACACGGTGAGGGTGAGCTGGCTCATCCCTGATGAAGCGGGGCGGGCGGGCCGGAGAGGACTGGGGGGACCTTGCAGCAGCGGGTGCCGACAGGTGACAGGTGCCCGTCTTTCAGGACAAGTGAGGAAGGGGTCTACAGAGGTGTAGCTGGGAGAGCACCAGCGGGAGCGGGCTCTGCCACGGCAGCACCAGGAACAACTGAGGCACGAGGGTTAGACGGTTAGGCCCCCTGGGATAGACGGTTCTCACTCCAGCTGGTCACTGCCTCGAGGGACGTGGACCCAGGGTGGCCGGACACGGTCAAGTTAGATGCCTGGAGACGGACCAGGTGTGGCTGGGGCCTCACCCGTGCACCGGGGACCCTGAAGGCCGGTGGAGGGTGCCACCGAGCCCTGTGCCCCGTGGCTGTGGAGTGGTGGACGGGCGCCCTGGCCCTTTGTCCCACAGGCAGACAACTCTGGGGTGCATGCTCTACATGGGCTCCCACAGGCCCCAGCAGGCAGAGCCCGGGTGCCCACGGTGGCCCTTGGCCTGATGGCTCTCTCCCCATCTGCCTGCCTAGCCGCACGTGGCCTC